TTTAAGAAAACGATATCTCCTACTTTATCACCCGTTAATATTTTGCATTTCAATAAATGATCTGCAAGTTCTATAATCATTAATCTAGTACCATTGCAAAGACCTTCATTGATATTAAGATTTCTAATTAGCATAATGATACAATTTGGTCTTAAACGCAATTCGTAAGGAGGAAGAGATGATGGAGACAAAGTATTTAAATATTCTGGTAATAAAACTTCATCAATGTCACCGTTATTACCGGAATTTTCAGTACTATCTGTACTTGTATAAATCCGTTCCTCAGATATATCTAATAATTCCACAACTCGTTTATTAATTTCGTCTACATCAGCATTTCTTGCAGAAAGTATCGCACACTTAGCCACTTTATTATATTCTTTATTTCGTATTAGATCCCCATATATATCTTCTATAATATCGGCATTAATGGGTGCAATACAACAATCTGGAAGTTGTATATTATCGTTAGAATCATTTAATATGCCGTCTCCCATATCCAATAAAAATTTTGCAAATTCAGTTTCCTTTGGAAGAACTCGCACGTTTTCCGTTAAAGAAAAATTTACACAATGTTTCCAAGTAGAACTAAATTTAATAGAAAGATTCACTATTTCACATCGAGTACCATGTATCTTAATAGGAAGAAGTTGCCTGAAATCACCACCTAATATGATAATTTGGTAATTATGTAGAATAACGGACCACCCTCCAATCTCGATGACCTTGACATATGTTGTCAAGGTCATGACCCTGAGTGACCTTCAGAAGGTTTTAGCCGTCGCTCGTGGTTCGTTAAAAAGTTATTAACAAAAAATGTTTAACGAATAGAATATGGTTTCTAATATTTATCTCACCAAATATTAAAAATTTTGAAAAATGTTTTAAACAAAAGTTGTAGATCTCTTTGAAATATGCATTTTACGTCCTATTTATTTTTACTGTACGAGTGATAGTTTTCGAGAAAAATGATGGACTTAAACACGTAAGTTGCAAGCGCGTTTAGCACGGCGCGCTGCACGCGCCCCAACACCTCCCGCCCCCTCCCTCCCCTTCCCACCTCCTCCTACCCCCTCCCCCTCTTCTCCCTGCTCCATCCCCCCTCCCCGCCCCCTCCCCAGTTAAAGTATAACCCTAACCAAACTATGTCCGAGGTGTGGAGTGGATCTCGCTTCACGTGAAAAGTCGCAAACCTATATGGAATCATATATGTACTACAAAGCACATGCTTAGATGAGAGGACAGATATTAGAGATAAATGAATAATTATTATAGTAATTGTTATAATTTCTCTCCGTAA